TTTAACCGTGAGACACAACCCTGGTAATCACGCGATCGTGCCAACAACTGCAGCGATTGCCTGGTCGCATGGTTACTCTGCCGCGCCTTAGAGATTTTATGTTTTAATATAGAGTTTGTAAACTATTGTAAAAGGATGGAAAGAACGAGAGAACGGTGCAGCGAGGGGTTACTTGTATGAATAAAGCTGGAATATCTGTAATGAACTTATGCATATTCATTTGGGTCGAATATTGTACCTCTACATGTGAGTGACATCAGCCAAGCGAGACGAAGTTCCCAGATCCCTGAACATAACGCTTGTGTTCACAACAGACGAATTAAAATAAATTACAGTACATATGTTATAATGTGGAATACTTCATTTTCACTGTAAACATTTTACCGCTAAAATAAATTCCAGTGAAAATGTCATTTCCCTCATACCTCATATTGAGATACTGCACAGTGAAAATTGGATTCACACGTAATGCTTGAAAACTTTTCATCGAAAATAAATTAAGTGTAATTCTATGTGACTTCATGAGTGTTGGAAATGAACAAATTATATGACACCCGACCCTACCACTCCATACACAGTGTAAACTACACCCCAAATCATTCTTTCACCAGTGTATTCTATTTGCCTTCAGGAGGAATAGGAATAAACAAATTATATGACAACAAATCATTTCAGCTTCTATTTCAGCACTGGTTAAATAAACTACCTCGTCTTTATGCCAACTTGAAGTTATTCATTGCCTACACCAGTGAATTCAAAGTCTATGTTTCAATCCGAGGAATTTCACTTGCTATTAATTGCATTGGAGTTCCAGTGTTTTATTTTCTATTGTAATGCCAATTTCTTGCGATTACTCGGAACATGAATCTGTAACCACAGACCGCCTAGGTACTGCAACTAAATCAATATAAAAATATTACCCACACAGCATTCTACATGTTATTTGTCTTGTAATGATATCATTGGTAATATATTACCCAAATCCAATGGGAATACTAGACTTGGTTTAAATGCCAACTCATGGAGTGATTTGTTGCACAGTATGATACACATTTGCCAATCTACCAATAAAATCTTATCAGTAATCAAAATGTCAGATAATCGATATAAACACTCCTATGAAAATCTGAAGTCATTAGAAAGTCTTAGTTTAGTCCAAAGTTATCAAACAATTCATTACAACCACAGGGTCATATTGGATTCGAAAAGAGGGCCAATATGCGAATATTTGTTGACTTCGTCGCACACAATATTTATCTTACCATAAGCCTTTCCTTCATCCAATATGGCGCTATTAGGAATTCAATATTGCATATTTTCATATGTAAATTCATAATGCAAATTGGTTTGTAAATTACGCATTTTATTTAATCCCATATAACGTGGCAGCTTAGTGTAATAAAGCAGTTTAATCATTACTTAATGGATCCATAGTCTGTAACAAACATTACATTGATTAACTTGTTAATATAATTGTTGTGGATTTTACGCACCGTAAATGAATTGTTGTTACAAATAATATTAATTCCAATATTTCGGGTAGATTGTAAAACGATCTAATAGCAAATTGACTCTAAAATTAGATATCACTAATTAGTTACAACATCAATACGACATACAGTAAAGAACATGAACTTGTGGACGTTATAATCGTTTTTTAAATATACATTGCTTAAAAATTCAAAATGTATCTTAGAATTTAAATTGACCAATCTGGCAACGGTATTGTGACATCAACGTTAGTTCTAATTAATAATAATGAGATAGTTCAACATTAGCAAATCAGCAATTACCTCATTAGACATGTTTAAATAAGTAAAATGAAGATCACCTTAAGAACTCGCGTGGATGAAGACAATAACAGTGAGATCACAATTAACGGTACAAAGTTAGGAGAGAAAACGTTCCAATACATTGGCTCAATGTTAAATGAAGATGTTATTTCAGAACACGAATTTAAGAAGAGGCTTGCGATTGCCACAAACCAGCTCGCCAAATTCGACACAATTTGGAAATCAAGCTCGCAAAATAATTCAATGAAGATCAAAGATCAAGTCACTGATAGCATCTATCACTCTATATAGAAGTGAAACATGGACCTACCCCAAAAGTCTGGAAAAGAGATCCAATGCATTCGAATTTCGCTGCTTCAGAAGAATACTTACCTGGAAGCATAAAATCACAAACAATCGAGTCAATGAAAAATCATCAGGCAAATTGGAATCTAAGAAACCCTTTTGGAGATAGCGAAAAGACGAAAACTGCAATGGTTCGGTCATATTAGACGACGGCCTGGGATTCTAGCTTATGGTATAATTCACGAAGCAGTTGAAGGAAGCAGGCGCAGGGGCGGCCAAGAACAACGTGGATGGGAGACATCGTGGCTTGGACGAAACGCAGCCAGCGAACTGTGTCGGACTAGCGAAGGACCGTGAAGGCTGGAAGAGCATTGTGAACTCATGAAAGTGCCCCAACGACCAACATTCCACAGGCGTGAACTGACCTGATTTTCGTAATTTTTCAACAATTTCTTTTTTAATTTGATAAATATAACCAACTGACATGTGAATTGAAAGAATAAGTAATTTTGTTTCACAAAACCCATCAATCAAATATAGTTATTCAAATTAGGTAGCAACTAGCAGAACATTTGAAGGCAAGATATCTTGACTATTCAAGACAAAAATACTCGTATACATTAGAGTTTGAGAGGCAAAACTATACCGCTGTGATTCAGATGAACAGGACTGTAAAACCAGCACTGTTCCTCTTCCGCTTTGGTGTGACCTTGTATAACGTCATGTGACTATTTATTATATGTCAACATGGCGGACCGGCAGCAGGAACCATGCACAAAAAGAATGAAACTTGACTCATTTAACTGTCTTCTGATTGACATATCCAAGGACATTACTGACGGTAAGCTAATTTATTATCGTTTTCGTGGCGGTATATGGCGTCATATACCTAACTTATTGTTATGAGAGTGTGGAAATGTGGAGTGTGGTTTTCCGTTTATGACGTCCATAGCCCTAACAACAGGGGTCACGCCAAATGAACTATGAAATCAAGCCTTCTAAACATTCATGCAATGGCAAAAATTGGTCCCCTGGATGGAAGAAATAACTGAAGAAGTACGCAGTGCTTAAGCCCCGTGATATCGCGATTTTAGATTAGTGATTTTAGTATTTTGACGAGACCTACGTATTTACCTTGCCGTTTATTCGATGTTATTTGCATACTCCTGTGGATGATGTCATGGGGATTTCCCCTCACACGACCATACCATAAGAGCCGAATGTACTCGGTAAAACACTGGACAATTAACTGCACTGTGCGAAAACGAATTAATAATAGAAATACAATGGAACAATTATGGACATGGATCTATTCCCGATTATTTTTAGTGATTGTATTTCACACCTTTCCGCCGTTGAAGTACTCGAAATCTGCATAGCCCCGGCCAAGTCGCGTAACTGCTGTGGATGATGTCATGGGAATTTCCCCCACACGACCATACCCCAAGAGCCGAATGTACTCGGTAAAAAC